GTTGTTTACGAGAACTCGCGTGCACAAAATCGGTAAGAATAATAATAAGAAAAACTAGATGAGATCTCGTTGCGAGCAACGAGTAGGTCTTCCGTGCGATTTTTCGTTAAGATGAGATATGATTTTGACTATGATCTTTGCTAAAAGATAATAATATATAGACTACACTAATTAGATTTCATTCTTTTGATTTCTATAACATTATAAAAGAGCTATAGATGAAAGACTTTTGGCACATCTGAGCCCATAGTTTGGGGGTCAGCCACTTTTTTTTCATATCAATTGAAAAGTCTTGTGTTTTTGAAGACCTTTTGTTCAAGACTTATTCAGAGATTTCTTTTCGTTGTTGATATATGCTGTTTAGAAATATTCAGGGGACAGCCCTTCAAGTCCTTAATGGGGCTGTTTGACAAGAATTGAAAAGATGCATATTGTTAAGAACATTATTCTGATCATCTTTTGTTAAATATAGCTTATCAAAATATGTCCCCTTTTCGAGATATAAAGCGTTAAAGATTTAGCATTCTGGCCCCTTGTGACCCCTTTTGATGTAACATATGATCAAAATTTTTTAATATAATGCTGTAAATTCCATTGATGAACAATTCTGCTTCAGTAATTTTAACAAAATATTGATCGTTAAAGAGAAATAGATGAAAGACTTTTGCCCCCTCTGAGCCCCTAATTTGAGGGTTCAGCCCCTTTTCCTTGATATCAAATGAAAGGTCTTGTGATTTTGAGGACTTTTTGTTCAAAAATTATTCAGAGATTTCTTTTCGTTGGGGAGATACGCTGAATGGAAATATTTAGGGGCCACCCCTCCAAATCCTTAATGGGGCCGTTTTACAAAAAATTGAAAGGGTGCATATTGTTTAGAACATAATTTTGAATATCTTTTGTTCAATATTGCTTATCAAAATATATCCCCTTTCCGAGATATAAAGCATAAAAAATTTATCATTCTGGCCCCTTTTGGCCTCTTATTACGCAATACATGATCAAAATTTCATAACATATAGTTGCAAATTTTTAAGTTGAACATTATTGCTTCAGTACTTTATGACAAAATATTAATCGTTTAAGAGTTAAAGATAAAAAAAACTTTTGGTCCCTCTGAGCCCCTAATTTGAGGGGTCAGCCCCTTTTTCTTGATATCAAATGAAAGGCCTTGTGATTATGAAGACTTTTTGTTCAACAACTATTCAGAAGTTTCTTTTCGTTTTCGAGATATGTAGAATAGAAATATTTAGGAGTCAGCCCTTCAAGTCCTTTCTGAGTTCATTTTGCAAAAATGGAAAGGGTGCATATTGTTTAGAACATTATTTTGAATATCTTTTGTTCAATATTGCTTATCAAAATATATCCCCTTTCCGAGATATAAAGCATCAAAGACTTATCATTCTGGCCCCTTTTGGCCCCTTATTACGCAATATATGATCAAAATTTCATAATATATAGTTGCAAATTGTTAAGTTGAACATTATTGCTTCAGTACTTTATGGCAAAATATTAATCACTAAAGAGTTATAGATAAAAGACTTTTGACCCCTTTCAGCCCCTAATTTGAGGGGTCAGTCCCTTTTCCTTGATATCAAAAGAAAGGCCTTGTGATTATGAAGATTTTTTGTTCAACAACTATTCAGAAGTTTCTTTTCGTTTCCAAGATATGTAGAATAGAAATATTGAGGGGCCAGCCCTTCAAGTCCTTACTGGGATCGTTTTGCAGAAATTGAAAGGGTGCATATGGTTTAGCATGTTATTCTGAACATCTTTTGTTCAATATTCCTTATCAAAATATTTCCCCTTTCCGAGAAATAAAGCATCAAATAATTATCATTCTGGCCCCTTATGGCCCCTTATTACGTAATATATGATCCCAATTTTATAAAATGTAGTTGCAAATTGTTAAGATAAACATTTTTGCTTCAGTAATTTATAACGAAATATTGACCATTAATCCATATCTCACGACCGGAAGTGACGTCACAGACGACGAAAATTTCCGACAAGGTTCAGATAAATATCTATCAGATCTGAAAGTTTGGTGAAAATCGACCGAGCCATTTTCGAGAACTCGCGTGCACAAAATCGGTAAGAAAAATAATTATAATAATAGGGAAAAAGAAACCGAACGAAAACAATAAGGTCTTCCGTTGGAGACGGAAGACCTTAATAATAATAATAGGGAAAAAGAAACAGAATGAAAACAATAAGGTCTTCCGTTGGAAACGGAAGACCTTAATAATAATAATAAGAAGAAACAGTAGAATCACTATAAGGTCTTTTGGAAAACGGAAGACCTTAATAATATATTTTAAACTGAATAAAGCAAAAAAATGTATATCGTCATGTCATGTATATTTATTTATTCTATGTAATACAAACATCATTCTACGCATTCATTACATGAAAACGAGCATTGGTTATTTGTACATGTTGATACCAAACATGATCATCGAACGCAGTTCTGTAAGCATTTGTTCTGCAATAGTCGCCATATTGACACCAATGCTGCTATGCATAGTTTCTGCATTTTTAATATTTATTTAACTTTGACACTAACTCAAAATTAATGTCTCGTCTTCTAATCAATTTCTACTTTTCACTGTGTCTCTAAATTATCGCAAGACAATCAATGTTAATTATTTTAAGAGCAGACAAGCACAATATGATTATACGAGGGTTGTTCGGAAAGTTCGTGGACTTCTGTCATATCTTTTTTATTTAACGTCATATGTCATCCAAATTTGGTAGAAATATTTTAGCAATAAATTTAAATGATTTGTATTAAATTTTTCAATAATATCATGATTTATTTAAAACTTATCCAGAATTAAAAAACGGCGAAAATCGGATTGCGGCGCAGGTCAAAATTTAGTAATTTACAAACAATACCCTAAACAATGTCTGTAGTCATCTTCTCTGTAAAATGGAGGAAAAAAGAAAAAAATCCTAGCCGGTTAAATTAAAAACTGTTACATCGATTCGCATTCCAAATTATGGCTTAATATTGTGCTTTGGTAAAAAGAAATCAATTTGAGAAGATAGGAAGTCCTCATTGAAAACAACAAAAACGATGATGTTGTAGAACGTCAAGGAGCAGCCGATAACGATGCAGTTTTGTGTTATACTCGGGGAAAATACTGAATAAACGCTAAAAATGTTGGAGGAATCAGAAAATATGCCACAAGCGAGTAGTGCATGTGTGTGTAAATGGTAGAGGCGGTATTTGAGTGACAGAGACTCTGTATTGGACGAGGACAATCTGTGAAGAAACGGTTTAACTGTAAAAATCTGAATGAAAACTTTTACAAGTTGGGACGTCATGGAAAGACGTAGGCGCTTCAGAGTTGCTGTTCTTGTGAAAGCACAGTTAAGCGATAAAAGAAATTAAACATTAACAAAGGAAATTATAAAACGAGAACAATTGTTAGAAAAATAAATGTCAAGTGATTGAAAAAGGTTTTTAATACGTGGGTATTGGACTATACCGTGTGAATGTATAGACTGAGATAGAATTTTTAAGAAACTCTTGACGCTGTGTTTTTGACGTTACATTGCTTTTAAGTGTGCGCCTTGGTTACAAAACATGTTGATTTTAAAATGAAGTAAATTAATTTCTATCAAATCGAATGGAATGAAATTTCACAGATCAACAAAACAAATATTTTTACACATGATATTGTGCTTATTTTATATTTCTTGGAACCGAGTATCACTGTCAAACAAATGGATTTGTTGATTAAAAATGATTATTTTCACTGCCTGGTATATTTAGAAAAAATTTAAGAATTTTGTTTGAGACAGGTACAAATATTTCCGGAAGGCCAGGGAGGCTAAAACGGAATATATCTCTCTCTCTCTTTCTCTCTCTCATCATTTGTCTGTTTAATAAAAACTATGACAGCATATTACTTCAATATCAAGTTCTGAAAATTTAATCTATAACAAATAATATGAATGCCTCTTAATTTGTATCATCTTGTCTGAGTATAATCACGGGGAAATGTCCACATGCAGATACATGTAGAAGCACTGCTCAATAAATCATCATAAAAAATAGAAATGACACATGAATATATTATTGCATTAAAATTTTAAAATATGAATGTTAATTTATGCAATAGGTCCACGGACCTTTGTAAAATATTTAAATATTTTTTCTCATTATTTTACATGGAATCGCCTTGGCACGGAAATATGTATGGTTGTTACAACCGTTGTAATTCATTTTATGTCAGTTATTCTCTTCTAAAATCCACATTATTTGTAATGGTTTTTTATATCAAATAAGAATAAACATAATTATTTTACAACTAGAATAATTTCATCTTGTATGCTACAGCGTTCGGTAACAATTACAATGTTTAACAAAATCGTGTGATTAAAAGGTTGAATTTAATCATCCCATTATATGTGCAGAAAATATTGTAGGAACTTAAATTAATAGTTTTACTTAATATGCATGTATCGTCTTTCTTAGGACAATTTTGGAACATTTATTTTATTTATTCATTGAATTGTTTATTTATTTTTATTTTTTTTATTTTGGCATATGACATTAGAATACAATAGAATAGTTTCAATGCAAGGAAAAGATCAGAGGCATTCTGAATAAATCGTTCATCTCGCATTCACCATTTGTTCACCATTCACTTTGCGATCACTTTTGCGCTCTGTTTGCGTTCTGCATTTGCTCACCGATCACCATTCACCAACAGTTCACCAAGTTGCATTCAGCGTTCACACATCCTTCACTCTCCCTTTGTTCAGTGTTCAAGTGGGAAAGTAGAACGTTTCAGGGACTGTATCTAATTTTTTGAAAAAGTCTCCAAACTACAGTCGAGTTAGCTACTAAACAGGTCCCCGATTGTCAACCCATATTGACACAATTGATATTATAATCACTTTACTCACGTGACATTCCACTGTTCGATACGCTTTCATTGTGTCTGTCATTGGAAGTTCCTTGTGTCTGTTCAACTTCCAAGTTCAAAATATTGAAGATTTTTGTGAAAATTTTATTAAGATTTTAAAAATTACATATATTCTTCTTTTACTATACTTTTTTTTCCGTTAGGGGTACAGTAAAACTCGTTTAGTACGAACACGGATAGAACGAATTCACGGATATTGCGAATTTTTCTTGGATCCCCAGCTATATAAATTTAACGAATTTCTTATAAGGATAAAACGAATTACGGATATAGCAAAGTAATTTCACAGGTCCCAGTGACTTTGTTATAACCGAGTTTTACTGTATTTTGAAAGAAATTCTGGTATTGTCAGTGCAAATCAGATGCACAATTAGTAGGTATAGCTGTGCTCATGTCACCTCTGTATTATGGTCTGCAGGCATCTGCAGACACAACCCAGCCCTAAACACTAGAATCATTTATTATTTGTGCACCACAAAACTTCACAATCTCTCTCTTCTCCACTTAAATTCGTAGTGTAGAATCTGAATACGGAAAAATCATGTGCTGATGTTTACATTTCACTTCCATGCGATTTAAATGTCTCTGCCTATTTGTGGATACCGTAAATTCAAAAGTGGTCCAGTTCAATTTTCCGGAATTTAAGGCTTATACATGTTCTTTTCCATGACTTTGTCTGTAATTATAGAAATATGTATGACAAAAAATTCAAGGCATAAATATCAAAAGCATATGCATGCACAATAATCATAGATTAATTTAGCTATTTATTGTAATCTTAAAATGGATAGCCGAAAAGGTTCCAAATGACATACTAAAGTGTTCTCTGAGTTGAAGATTTATCTTCAAAATTGAATCATTTCTTTAAGAAACAGCTAGGTACCCATGGCTGATAATTGTCATCATCCCAATAAGAGATGTGTAATTAAGCAATTAACATAGAATATACAAAATGTATTAATACAAGATATATACGCATCGCCGAGCTCCTCAATACAACAGGTGAACTACATGTCCCGATTTGATTTCTACAAATTTAGTGATTTTAATCCTCCCACCTTTCAACAAGACACTGTAGCGTAATGGATAAGGTCCCAGACTACCATGTGGGAAGGGCCTCGGTTTGACCGTGGGTATCTGTAAGCATTTTTTTCTTAGATTCACTTTTTAATTTTTTTTTAAATTATTTGAAAATAGATAAATTTAATACCATAATAACAGGAAAACGTGAAAAAGAATCACTTAGTTAAAAAATAAGCCGATTATTTAATAAAAAGGTATAACTGAAAGATAACTGAAAGGCCACTGAAATGTATCTGCCATTCAGTCGACTGAATGATAAATGAAAGATCACGGAAAAGTCATGGGAAAGGATCTTTTCAGTGACCATTCAGTGGGCATTTAGTTACCATTCCATCGACTGAATGGTGCGATTTCATCCTGTGTTAGGCATTCATTTTTTTATGAATCCGATATCCAAGTTCCTGTTTTATTCATGCATCTGTTCCTACCAAATTTCCGTCCCAGTTTTCCCCAGCAACTACTTATTTTAATTCATATGATAGCATATATACACATCAGAGGGGGAGGGGGGGGGGTATTACTTGTGAGCTTTGGCTCACAGACTTCTTGTTCTTGAGTGCCCTTGGTATTGTTAACTTTGATTGGACAGTTTAAATCATATATATGTCTTTTCTTGAAATTTAAATCAAAATACACAACCAATAAGGTGTAATTTGCTAGGACTGTAACATATTTTAGTAAATGATCATGTTTATGTTGGTAATCTCTGTTAATACTTATGTCTCTGTGTAAATCCCCAATTTTTTGCAATATATTACTGTAAACCAATCATCATACATGATATTTTTTTATTTGTAAATACTGGTTCATAACGAAAAATATCAGAAAATGTAAACTTCCATAAACTTTTAAAGATTTTTTGTTTTATTTTAAAAATAAACTTGTTTTATTTGTGAATCATCAATGAAAGAGTGGTCCATAACAAAAAATATCAGCAAATGTAAACTTTTATAAACTTTTAAAGATTTTTCCTTTTATTATTTAAAAAAAAAAAGCTGTTTTTTATTTGTGAATCATCAATGAAAGACTGGTCCATAACAAAAAATATCAGCAAATGTAAACTTTTAGAAACTTCATTTTATTTTAAAAATAAACTGTTTTATGTGTTCATTGGAGCAACGAATATAACAGTGATCTGTGGTCAATGGTGCAACAAAGAATAAACTCTAAATTTCATCGTTCTCTCTATGGTATAGATACCTGTACCTTGCCTGTGTAAACAATTTATGGGGAATTAATTACTGTATACAGGGATATTTTCACCCCGTGTTATTTTCGCCCTTTGACACTTGCAAACAATTTTGCCCTGTTTTAAATTCACTCAGTCACTGTTTCGTGTAAGAAATTCAAATCTTCAAAAATCTTCTTAAGAACAGCAAAGCCATAATTAGTCATATTTATATGGAAGCATCCTCAGGTGGTGTAGATTCAAGGTTGTTCAAATTATGACCCCCGAGGGTAGGGTGGGGCCACAATGGACGATCAAAGTTTTATATAGAAATATATATATAGGAAAAATCTTCTAAAGAACAACAAGGCATGATTGGTTATTAACTATTTGGAAGTATCCTAAGGTAGTGTAGATTCATATTTGATAAAAATCATGACCTCCATGGGGATAGGGTGGGGTCACAATTGATGATTAAAGTTATGCATAGGAATACATAGGACATTTTTTTTTTAATCTTGTTCTCAAGAAGAGCAAAGCTATGATTGGTCATATTTATATGGAAGCATCCTCAGATTGAGTAGATTCAGATTTGTTCAAATGTACATGACCCCCGGGGTTGGGACCATAGTGAAAGTTCAAACTTGTAGGGAAAACAGTCACAGTTAGTCAAAATAATATGTAAGCATTCTTTAGTTAGTGACTAGATTCAATTTTGTTCAAATCACCCCCCCCCCCCTCCCATTTTAGGGGTAGGTCGGGACCGCTTATGCATTAAAGCTTTTCAATACTGAACTGATTGCTTTTTGCCTAGCCACAGTGCTCAGGTGAGCGATGTGGCCCATGGGCCTTGTTCTTTGTCCATTTAATTGGTATTTAAGGTCAGTCAATTGATTAAAATTTCAAAAGACATAAATTAAAATGGTCTTGATCATTGCTGTGACATTAAATACAAAACCTCATTAGGGTTGAGAGTAAAAAAATAAATCAATTTGTATAAACCCATTTTTCTTTGTATAAGTCTTTTGTCCCTTTGATTATTTTTTTCACACAATGTCATGCAGTTTTTGGCATCTGTTGATTGTGAATTGCTTATTTCAAATTTAATCCAGGTTTGGATAGCTTTGGGATTAGTATTCACAGGGATAGACATTAACTTTCAGACTCGCTTGCCCTTCGGGTAAGTGAACTCAAACTTTGACTTGTCCGAATGCAAAACTTGGTTGCCCAAAATTTAGAGAGAAGAGAACCGGTATCTTAATTTTTTATTGTAAATAAAGTGAGATCTTACTTTATATTTGGCAAGATAAGTGCCAGAAAAAATTTGATGTGCTGCTCATTTTACATTTAAAATACTTGTAAACTCACACTGCCATGCAGCAATATTTCTCATAAAATAACATTCATATTTTTAAATTTATTTTTGTGCGATCTTTTTGCGAATCTTGATTTTTTTTTCCATGAAAAAGGGGAAACAGTTGCCATGCTTACATATTCTGATTAGAATACATCGTGCACCGAGAATAACTGTTCCTTATATTCTGTGAGTTAATAAATAAACTATTTTATGTATCTTATTTCATAATAAGAATGTAAAGAAAGTTGTCAGACGGAAAGCGTATTTTTGTCAACTACCACGAAAGAAAAACGGAATAATGACCCTGATTTTTCAAATGCTACCGAGGAATTTACGAATGCAAAACAATGTCATATGCCTGGTAGAAATCAAATGTTCAATTTATTGTTTTGTTTATAAACTAATGAAAGATATAAAAAAAAAATCTATCAGAAATATTAACTTGCCCGACCGGACAAGTACATAACAATTTCACTTGCCCGAACTGAGAATTTACTTGCCCCGGGCAATCGGACAACCGTTAATGTCGATCCCTGATTCAGGAAGGGGCAGATCACTTTAAATGCAGTATATACCACATGAATGTAGTAATAATAAGATCAAATTGGTTGATTTTAACTTCATGCAAAATCTTTGTAATTATCATTTGTTATTCAATATATTTGAATGTCATTGCAGACATATTTTCAGAATAAAAAATAACATCTTTTCTTTATTCTGAATACATTCACAACACAACTTGCCCCCAATCACTGTCCCACAGAGCTTTAGATGCTCGCAGATATTTCCTGCACAGTGGCACGCATATAAAAAATGGTTTACAGTATTTGGTATTCATAAGGGAGAAAAAACAAATTCACAAACATTGGTTATTGAAGTGTATTATCATAATAAAACAAATATAGTTACACAGTATATGCAAGATTTTTTTCAATCAAAAGGTCTCACATAATTATTAAAAAATAATGCATATTAATGTATTCATAAATAAAAAATTAATTGCAGTATACATATATTTGGTTTATGAATTTCAACTCACCTTTGAATGCCTTGCTTGAGAATTTATAGAACTTGAATCTGATAGGCATCACTGAAAAGAATATTGATTGAATTTTAGGAAGTGTACATTAAAACCTCAAAGAGAAAAGATTGAAAAATGTATACTTTACAATAACATTTATTTCAAAATTAGTACTAAATTTATACAATAATTGCAGGGATATATAATCAGATATATTTCAAAAATTTTTCAAATAAACTTAAATGTGATATAATTAAATGATTAAAACATCTCTGTCCTATATAAATAATGATTAAAGAAGCACAGTTTGACTATAATGAAGATTATTTAATGCATTAAAATCATCATTAACACCATAAATTGGCTTACATGCTTGCATAAATATTCTTACATTTGTTTTATTTCATTTTTTCACAGAGGACAGAGTTGATGAGTTAAAAGTGATATTCTTGGAAGAGGAAATCAAGGAGTTGAAGCATGCACTTAGGGATGCCAGAAATCGCAACAACTATATGTCTCAGCTTCTGGAACAAGCTGAAGATTTCAAGAAAAAACAGTCAGTTAATATACTGTAATGTATTAAGAAATTGACTTGATTGCTGGAAGCTTTTGTAGTTTTCATCTCAATTTTAGAGAATAGAACATGTAAAATAAGAGGCTCAAGGGCCTTAACAGTCACCTGCTTATGATACAACCATGTAATTAAAAGGATCCATAGAATGACAATTTGATAATTATATAATAAAACAAACTAAATTGATAGGGTATGTTGGGCACAAACAAAAGCAACGGGGCATCAATATTCAGAAATGTAACTTAATAGTCACAATCTGCTAATCTGATACAACTTGAAAGTAGATTTATTTACTTGCCTTTATATGCCAGAGCTAACTTAACTCTTTTACACTGATCATAAGTACAATAATTACAATACAGTGCTTCAGCATAGGCCCATTCAATCACTTGTCCAGCTCTTTTAGTAATATTTATGGAACAAATCTAAATCCAAATAAGTTTTGTCCAATGTTTATTTATTCCTTACTTCAAGTGAACTTGACCATTAAAAACTATAAAAATATTTTGTTTTATAAATTAAAAACTTTAATTCAGTACACCTATCTGTTACATTATTTACTTTAAATATTAAAGTTATTAAACAATTATCAAAGATAAATCATTAGATGGAAAAAACTTCTCTCAAAATAAAAATTTTCCTACATTATCAACAGTGACCTGTGGTAAGGGACATAAATTTCACAAATCTGGTAAAAATTCCCTTGATCGTTACAACTTTGACTTGGTTTCCCTGCTAGAACCCAGAAGTAGAGAAGCTTTTCAAACAATAAATGCATTCTACTATATGAGCAATAGAGCCCTGCTCTAACACCAGAACCTCATAAGCTGGGGTCATGAATTTCACAATTTTGGTAAAATTGACCATGCTAAAAACACTGGTGCTTATGTTGTCTGCTTTGTACCTGAGAGGCAGAGAAGATTTTCAAAATAAAATTATGCATTTTCACTATATGATCAAAACAGCCCAATCCTTACACCAGAAACCTTGAAGCCACCTTTAGGAATTGTTTGCTTGCTTGCTCCTGACTTACTGGTTGAAAGTGATCTGGCTGAAATCTTTTTTTAACTTCAAAGAAATGATAATTTTTAGCTCACCTGAACTGAAGGCTCAAGTGAGCTTTTCTGATTGAAACTTGTCCATTGTCTGTCGTTGTCATAAACTTTTAACGTAATTATTCATCTTCTGATGAAGAACCACTGGGCCATTTTCAACCAAACTTGCCATAAGGATCCTTGGGTAAAGTGCATTCAGGGTTGCTCAAATGAAGGGCCATGCCTTCTTCCAAGGGGAAATTATTACGAGTTCATGAAAAATTAATGGCATCATTTAAAAATCTTCTTCTAAAGAACCACTATGCTAGAAAATATGAAATTTATGTGGAATCATCCTCAGGTAGTGTAGATTCAAGTTTGTTCAGGTCATGACTCCCGGGGGTAGGGTGGGCCAAAATGGGCAATCAAAGATTTACATAGGAATATGTAGGGAAAATCTTTAAAATCTTCTCAAGAACAGCAAAGCTATGATTGATCATATTTATAAGGACGCATCCTCGGGTAGTGTAGAATCAGGTTTGTTCAAATCATGACCCCTGGGGGTAGGGTAGGACCACAATTTGTAATTAAATTTTTACATAGGAATACATAAGAAAAATATTTAAAATTCTTTTTCTCAAGAACAGCAAAGCCATGATTGATCATATTTATATGGAAGCATCCTCAGGTAGTGTAAATTCAAGTTTGTTGAAATAATGGCCGCGGGGGGTAGGGTGGGATCACAATGGGTGATCAAAGTTTTACATAGGAATTTATAGGGAAAATCCTTTAAAATCTTCTGAAGAACAGCAATGATTAGTCATACAAGGATGAAGCATTCTTAGGTAGTATAGAATCAAGTTTGTTCAAATTATGACCCTTGGGGATAGGGTGGGGCCACTTTTATATTAAAACTTTTCAATACTGAACTGTTTGTCATGTCCATATTCCTTCCTTCTTCTCTCCATCCTTCCATTCTTCCATCCTTCTGTCACACTTTGTGTTTAGCTCAGTTACAAAGAAACTATTCAAGATATTTTTATCACATGTCCCATGCTGATACATATTGATGAAAACTATTTAAGTGCATCAGCATTTTTTGACCTTGGTCTTGCCTTTGACATTGACCTCACTTTTCTTTAAATTTGTGTTTAGCTCAATTTCAAAGAAACTTTTCAAGATATTTTTATCAAACCCTCTGCTGACTTTGTGTTAAGTTAAGCTTCAAAGAAACTATTCATAATATTATTATCAAACTTCCTTTGCTCATACATATTGATGAGAACTTTTCAACTGCATCTTGACCTGACCTCACTTTCTTAAATAAGCGATTTTCTAAATTTCAAAGAAACTAAAGAGACTTTTATCAAACATCATTGCTGATACATATTGCATCAAAATTTATGACCTCAGCCTTTCTTTTGACCTTGACCTCACATATCTTAAAATGGTATTAAGCTCAGTTTTAAAGAAACTATTCAAGATATTTTAATAAAACCTTACAAGCTGATACATATTTGTGTCAGCTATTCAACTGCATCAACATGTTTGATCTTGACCTTTTCTTTGACCTTGACTCACTTTTCTTAAATTTCTTTTAGGATAATGAAACTATTCCAGATATTTTTTATGTTAGCTTATATTATTTGGTGGTAATTTATTAACTGAGCCATCATTAAAAACATCTTTGTTTCCCCTAACCCAACTCTAAAAAATAGGTAGGTAGGTAAATATTTTTTTGACAGCAGCTTTGAAAATACATTCTGAAAGGACTTTACTCGGTAATGACCAGTATCTGCCCAAAAAATCAAACTTTTGTGGAAAAATCTATAAGTATTGTTCTAAACCAGGGGGGGGGGGGGGGTATCTGCAGAGCATTGCCTATTTTCATCAGTCATGACATCATGTGTTAGATATGACATCAAGAAAATGACGTAAATTCAAATTTTTCAATGATTTTGAGAGCAAAGGTTATATTATACATTGATATTTTGATTAAAAGTCATCTAGCGCAGGTCTGTCCCAACTTTATCTTTTGATATAATGTATAAAATTATAATATCAATCAAAAATTCTGAATATTGTTCTGGAGCAAGCTTGTGCTCAGTTAATTCTGTACCAAAAATTTGAAAAATTTTGTCCATTTTGTCCTTTATTTTGGAAATAAAGGAAAATTCAAATAATTTGCAATGTTACAGAAATGAGAATTGATGATAAATTACTGCAAACTATAATAATTTTTGTGATTTAAGAATTTTCATACAATATATACAGATGTGTACATTTCTAGAGAATTCCAAATTTACTTTTTATGGGGGCAACAATATGCTTTTATCAGATATACTGTATGTGTACTTAAGTTGGCATATTCAAATTTTAGCGCAATCACTGGGTATGGAGTTGTTGGCTAAATCATGAATTAGAGCTATACCTGTCCATGCCGTATATTTATTTATAAATGATTTCTTAGCGGTACATGTATTCATGAATTAGCGTATCGTTGTCTGCGCCAAAGCCGCTAAAATATGAAGCCCGCTTTTTAGCTCACCTGAGCTGAAAGCTCAAGTGAGCTTTTCTGATCACCCGTCGTCCGTCCGTCCGTCCGTCTGTCTGTCCGTCCATCCATCCATAAACTTTTCACATTTTCAATTTCTTCTCAAGAACCACAGGGCTAATTTTAACTAAACTTGGTACAAAGTATCCTTGGGTGAAGGAGAGTTTAAATTTTTATAATAAAGGGCCAAATCCCCTTACAAGGGGAGATAATCAAGAAAAGACAAAAATAGGGTGGGGTCATTAAAAAATCTTCTTCTCAAGAACCACTGGGCAAAAAAAGCTGAAACTTATGTGGAAGCATCCTGGGATAGTGTAGATTTTAAATTGTTAAAATCATGACCCCCGGGGGTAGGGCGTGGCCACAATAGGGAATCCCAAGTTTTACATTGAAATATAAAGGAAAAATCTTGAAAAATCTTCTTCTCAAGAACCACTAGGCCAGAAAAGCTGCCACTTATGTGGAAGTATTCTGGGGTAGTGGAGATTCTAAATTGTTAAAATCATGACCCCCGGGGGTAGGGCGGGGCCACAATAGGGAATCCAAGTTTTACATTGAAATATAAAGGAAAAATCTTGAAAAATCTTCTTCTCAAGAACCACTAGGCCAGAAAAGCTGAAACTTATATGGAAGCATCCTGAGGTAGTGGAGATTGTAAATTGTGAAAATCATGACCCCTGGGGGTAGGGCGGGGCCACAATAGGGAATCAAAATTTTACATTGAAATATATAGGAAAAATCTTGAAAAATCTTCTTCTCAAGAACCACTAGGCCAGAAAAGCTGAAACTTATGTGGAAGCATTCTGGGGTAGTGGAGATTGTAAATTGTGAAAATCATGACCCCGGGGGTAGGGCGGGGCCACAATAGGGAATCTAAATTTTACATTGAAATATATAGGAAAAATCTTGAAAAATCTTCTTCTCAAGAACCACTAGGCCAGAAAAGCTGAAACTTATGTGGAAGCATTCTGGGGTAGTGGAGATTCTAAATTATTAAACTCATGACCCCCGGGGGTAGGGCGGGGCCAAAATAGGGAATCCAAGTTTTACATTGAAATATAAAGGAAAAATCTTGAAAAATCTTCTTCTCAAGAACAACTGGGCCAGAAAAACTGAAACTTATGTGGAAGCATTCTGGGGTAGTGTAGATGCTAAATTGTATGACCCCTGGGGGTAGGGCGGGGCCACAATAAGTATTACAAGGGGGGAAATCTGGTTAAGAACAGCATGGCCAAAGTTAGTCAGGTGAGCGATGTGGCCCATGGGCCTCTTGTTAAAGTACATATTCAGTACTAGTTCTTTAATGGAATAATACCTTTATAAATAAGAAAAGTACCAAAGAAAGTGATTTGAAACAGAATATCATACAAATGCCATTCAAAAGCAAAATTTAA